GAGGCAACCTTCAGCCGGCTACCTGGGATTTGAACCCCAGGTCGTGAGCACAGTTTTAGCTGTGGTACAGCGTTTTAACCACTGTGCCACGAGGCTCTGTATAAACACAGCTCGTCAACCAAATGGTCATATCCTGGTATATCCTGGGATCTGAACTCTTTTCCTATGCCTGCACTCCCACTGCTCCGGCCCACTTCCTAACCACCTTTTGCATGTTGCTTTACACCGGTCCATCGCCTCTCACCACCCCCCATCCCACTCCCACCAACCCCCCAGCCAGCCTTGGCACCAAAATGTTTCCATTGCAAGCCCCGGCCAGGCCAGCTCGCTCGGCACGGCCTCCCTCAGGGCTCCACATTGTGGAAAGCGGCTGCAGGAAGTGACCTCACTTCTCTGGCAGAGTTGCACCTACAGGAGCCATCTGGGCTGTGCGGGGACGGTTTGCTGCCTCCTCCTCCTCCTCCTCCATCCCATCCTCTGCAAAGGTCCACAGCCATCGCCCCTGATGCCCTAGACATCGCCCGCCTGCTTGAAGGATCCTTTCGAAAGAGCTGCCTTTGTTTACTTTTATTCCCCCCCCCCCCCCGGTTTTTCTCTCTCCACCCTGGTCTGCTCCCAAACTTCCTGACACTGTCCAGCAAGGGTAAGAAGGAAGGAATCCAACGTCTGTTGCAGACCTGGCTTTTATCCGGACTTTCTCTGCACTCCCACCCTGTTCCTGTGAGAACACTCCTCCCTTCCCTCCCTCTCTCTCTCTCTCACTCACTCCCCTCCACGTCTGTTTCCAGGCGACTCTTGGCCAGCTGTGGAATGAGAAGGGTCAGGAAAACAGCAGAGCACAGCAGGGATCTGCAGAACCCTGGAGAACAACAGGGAGGGAGGAAGGGAGGAAGCGAGATCTTTCCCTCTCGTGCAACGTCCACCCTCCTTCCTTTCCCTCCAAGAGAAGGCAACAGGGCAGAGTTCTTTGCAAAGACAAAGCTGGGCTGTTTTGTGTGCCCGCGTGTTTCCTAACGGGGCTATGCCAGCAACAGGCACCGCTGAGAGGCAAGACGACATACAGATCCAGTGTGTGGTCGGGAGTAGGTCTTTGACTGTCAATTAGCAAAATAAGTTTTGCCAATGAATATTACGAATATATATAGATACTCCCATTTATTCCAGACCTCCAATTTTTCTCAGTAGAGAATTTTGACCAAAATGCAGTGTTCATTGGCCTGGGATGGGTTTGGGACGATCTAACTTTCCTGCTTGCGATTTGTGGCAGGAAAACCCTGGACATCCAGCTCAAAAATGCATCAAAACCCACCTCCTTCTTCCAGTGCCTGCCCCCACATGTTATTGTCAGCACCACCCTGGGAAGTAGGTTGAAAGATAGCAGCTGGCCCAAGACCACCCTCACAGAATTCTGAATCTGAGCCCACCCACCCCGACCCCTGGTAAATCCTAACACGCTGTCCCCTACGTCACATGGGCAGTTTTCAAATATGTACAGATGCTTAGAAATAATAATAATACAAATTAGAGCATTTTTCCCTTGTAAAGAAGCTGATATGATGCTGGCAGCACAGCAATTTGTTTCTAGCCTCCTAGGATCAAGGAGAACCAGGAGTTCTGCAACAGATGGAGAGAATGCTCTGTGCGTGCGTGTGTAATGTGCTTCCTTCTCTGCAGTGCTTCCATTTCTGGGATTTCTTTACCTTGGTAGGGCAGGTGCTTCCAAGTACAGTGATGCCTCGCTAAACAATGATAATCCGTTCCACTGAAATCGCTGTTCGGCGAAATCATTGTCTAGCGAAAAGCATTTCCCCAGTGGAATGCATTGAAACCTGTTTAATGCGTTCTAATGGGGAAGAATCATCGTTGTCTAGCGAAGATTGGCCATAGGAAAGCTGCTTTGCGAACCGCCGATCAGCTGTTTAAATCGCAGTCTTGCGAAGCTTAGGTTCCGAAAACACCTGTTTTGTGAGCGCGGAGGGAGCTGTCAAAATCGTTGTCTAGCGAAAATTGGTTTGCGAATCAGGGACCAAACATTGTCCAGTGAAATTCCCCCATAGGAATCATTGGTTTGCAAATCGCTATAGCGATCGCAAAAAGTCAATGTCTAGCGAAAAAACTATCATGCGGGGTAACTGTCTAGCGAAGCACCACTGTAACATCACAGCTCACTTTCAGGCCCATGTTCTCCATGCCTCTATCAAGAGAGCTGGAAGTGGCTCATGCAGGGTGAGAAGGCCAACACAGGCCTTGTCGCCAGCTGGCTGAGACATGGCTATGTTGTCCTATCCTTGTTGCCCTCTCGCTAGGTTTGGTGTGCTCATGGTAAGAATGAAGGAGGTGGCAAAAATACTGAAATGATTAAATGCACAGTGCCGCTTCGGGCAACAGGGAGGCCATTTTCAAATCCTCCCTTATGTTGACCGCAAAACGCCTGCAAACAGAAAACCAACATGGCAAGGGAAGGAAGGGAAGATGGGTGACAACCTAGTTACAATCCTACAAGCAGGATGCTTGGCTGGTGTTTTATAGGTGAGAGGAGGCTGTTCAAGTGGATACTGTTCCCTGTAGTCTAAAAGTGCAGAATCCATTCCAACGCCTCCTTTCATGACATGCATGCCTAGACTGAAGCGGAGTGCAGACAAGATTGCCCCACCATATTTTACGACCAGAGTTAAAGGGGACAGGGACACGGACACAGACATACACAGACACAAACCAACAAACTAGCCTGACGGTTGGATTTTAATTCAGGACTAGTGACAGGACAGTATATTCCACAGCTCTCTTGGGGCTGCAGGGGGCAGGACAGGGTGTGTGAAGGAAGAGGTCCTTCCTCTCATTGCCGCTACCTTGGAGGACGAAGGTTAGAGCCACGTCCTCCCTTCGGGCCTTCTTCAGTGACCTCACCTTCTTCCACACAGCGATGGAGCCTCACCATCTCCCCAAATCAGCAGGAAAAGCCTGAAAAGCCTGGAACTCTTTCCGAGCCAGAAGGGGAAAGACTGGCTTATCGAGGGGGCCTATTCCCCACTCCCGCCCTTACCTGGGCCGCCCGTGTTTGCAGTGGAGGTTCACCCTGAAGCTTCTCTCTCCGCCATCCACCTCGCTGTTGGGCTGCCGCAGCCCTGGGCCCTGGCTGCGTGGGAACCATTCGGCTGGCGGGTTGGCTCCATTTTCCAGTCCAACAGGCTGGCAGGCAGCAGAGCTCCCATCTGTTAAATGGAAGCACACAGAGCCGGGCATGTGAAGGAGGGACAGAGCAGGCAGAAGGAAGAAGAAGAAGAAGAAGAAGACGGGGACAATCTGGCTGAAAAAACAAAAAACAACAACCAGGGGATTTCATTTCAAAGGGAGATGGTGGGCAAGAAGCCTATATGGAAATATATATAAGAAAGCAGAGATAGCGATAAAACAAATCCAGACTTTTATGCCAAGCAGAAAATGTGCATGGTTTTGCTATCACTGCTCTCTTCATCAGGCAAGGTATGGGCGTTAATGTGTGGAACGGCAGGTGTGGGAGAAACAGCTGGGATACGGATGGGGTGGCTGTTAGCGGTTTCCCTATGTTTCACCCTCCAACTCCCAGGCTCTTCACAAGAGGATGCCACCTTCGTCTCCTTTGTAAAAACAGTGGGCAGAAGCCGCAGAGGGCTGCCGGAAGGGAAATGGCGACATACAAGCCCTGTAAGGCGTTTTGCTGCATTGCTTTACATCGACATCCGACAACAACGACAACAACGACAACACATACATTTACAGACTTTTTTTCCCCCAGCGAACCACCAGCCATTCACAGCAAGCCTACCGGGTAGGTCAGGCAGAGAGTCAGAGGGCAATGGGATCAAAGTCACCCCAAGGGTTCTACAGCTGCCAATGTGGCTCTTCCAAATCCAGATTCAACACGCTAACTACTAACACCACACTGTCCTGGGTTCAAGTTCCCACTCAGATGTAATATTTAGGGATGCGGTTTTCAGATTTATTGGACTACACATTTGTTGGACTTTCAGATCTACTGGACTACAATACCCACAATTCACCATTCTGTGAGTTTTAGCCAACTGACACACACCTTAACAGATTGCTGGTGCTGAGCTAGGCCTAGTTCTGCCCATCTTCCTGTTCAGAAAGAGAGCTTCCAGGTAGCACTGGGAGGAACCAGAAGCTTGGGTGGAAATACCGTTAGCTCAACTGCACAGCTTTCCAATTTGGGCCCTTTTTTTCGCAGATGAGACACCTTTAAGGTGAGTTAAGTCAAATACAACTCCTAGAATGGGAAATTGTGGGATTCGTAGTGCAACCCAACGCCAACCGCCAAAATACTCCAATAACCTTCACTAGTTGACTTTGGTACAGCCATCCATACTCTCACCCTGACTTACTCCAAAGAATCTGGCTATATATACACAAATACCCATAAAACCACATCATCCCTGCCTCTGAAATAGAGAGGTGAAAAATATCCACAACATTTTTTTTGCTTATAGATTTCAGCAGTCTCAACACAAGAATGCAGTGACACACAACCTCAACAAGGAACAGTCAAGTTCTGCAAGGTTCATTGCCTCTAATGCAAGAGCTAGACATGGGACCTTTTTTCTCCATTAATGTCTCATTAATTTACCTAAAATGTCCCTACGCAAACGTAGTGCCCTTTTGCTCTGAGACGTAAAGCGCACACTTAGACCGGTCAAGAAGGAATGGGAGATTACTGAAAAAGATTCAAAGAAGCCACCCAACGCTTCTGATTCCTAGAAGTTTATTGTTTCGCCCAATTTACATTATTTGAGCTATCTGTGCAAAAATCAGTCTTTTGCAAATGCAAAAAAATAAAATAAAAAAATCCCACCCTTTGCAAAACAAGGCAGGAAAAGGGGGGTTTCCTTTTCTCACACACAAGAACAGGATAAGTGAGGATTTCCATCACCAACTGAAACCAGTTTACTCCCGGAATGCAACCACGAGGCAATGGGGTCCCCGCTTCTTTGTGCAAAGGCTGGCATTTCCCATTCAGGGTCATCAAAACACAACAATGACAGCAGCAACAACAAATGGGCTTGGCTTTGGACTAAAACAGGTATGCACAAATGGGGTGGTGATAGTGGCTCCTGGATAACACAACTTCACTCCACCTCAAAGTAAATACAGTACAAGGTGGGCCAGATGCCTCTGAATCCCTGATAAACAAGGCAGACAAAATATCTGTGAATCCCCTTGCATGCCAGGCTGTGCTGTCAGTCATCAGATCCGCCTCATCTCTTCAGCCCAACCTCTCTTGGCCTTTCCTTCCTTGCTCGGCTCCCTCCCCCTCCCCTTCTCTTTTTGTCCCTCTCATCATAGCCCTGCAGGGGGATCAGCCAAACCCTATTAGCTACAGTCATCTTGCTATCTCAAGCTGTGTGAGAGTGTGCGGTGTGTGTGAGACAGAGAGGCTGGCATGCACGCTCCGTGCAAGTTACCTAGCTTTCAATGGATAAATCACAGAATCATAAGAGTTGCAGGGGACCTCAGAGACCATCCAGCTCAACCCACTTGTTCAGTGCCATCTCCAGAATGCAGGATGGAGTTATAGTACCCCTGCCAGATACCCGTCGCCTCCCAAATTGATGCCATACATCTATGCATCATCTGTATGCTTGCTAAAACATAGTGTTTTACTGGCACATGCATTTTATGTATCTGTCGATTAATAATGTAATCTTCATCAAACTCTATCTCATTCAACTTCACAAGCCCTCAAGGCAGAACAAGGTTGCAACTGCGCCTTTGCAATAAACTGGAGAAAGTAGTGTCTTTGCTGCAGGTTAGCCGCAAGTAGGTGTGACCCAGGTTGTAACGCTCACCCAAACTGTAGTGCTTTTTCCTTGGGTTTAATCTGGTGCGATCAATGTCACTGTGAGCATATCGGGGCAGGGCATGATGTCGCTTTATGGGAACATCATGCCCTTTTTTGCTTATTTAAAATAATCTTTATATACATATACATTTTAATTAGTTTTTTTTAAAAGGAATCACAAATCCGCATGTGTGAATGGAGGCACAAAGGAGAAAAATAAAAGGAAAACTGCAGTAAGAACAGCAGTAAGCTTCTAAGTAAGAACCTGAGATGTCCACCATTTGCTATCACACAGCTCTCTTGGGTTGTTGTGTGCACTGCTCCAGCTACACCTATGGTTGTTTGCCCTCTGCATCCTTATTGCATGCTTGTGCTCAGTTTTATTACGATACAGATTAGCCAAAGCACAGAAGTTCTCAAGCAGTGGTTCCCCAGATTCTGTTGGACCGCAGCTCTCACAATCTCCTATCCCTTCTTTGATTCTGAAGTCCAACAAGATGTGGAGATCCACAGCTGGAAACACAGCGACTAGGCAGTGCAGCACCAGACAGGGGGCAAATGTCACCAGTGTCATGAACTCATTTGTCATCACGGCTTACCTTCACACAGAACAGCAAATTAAGATTCTAGGGAATCCTGCCTTGTTGGATGACCTGTACCCTGATGTATGCCTCCTTTTCACCAGAGCTTGGAAAATTTATTACAGTTCCCAGAATTCTTACAATAGCAGAAGCAGTGGTCATGCCATCTAGAGGATTCTGGAAGCTGCAGCTTCCGAAAGTAAAAATGTTAAGTTCTACAGTTTATATTATTTTACTCATCCTGTTAAAACGTTGCCATGAAACTAACGCCGAAAGTGTATTGTGTCATATGCACCAGAACTGCAAAACTGGGTTCATTCTTGATTTATAAATATTGGATTGACTGGGAACCTATATGCCAATAAAGGTTTCGAAATCGAAATCAACTGGGAACCACAAGCTGGGAGCCTTAGCTCGGAAGAAATGCTATCGTCTACTTACTTACTTTACGTTTACATTAGAAATTTCTATGCTGCAGTTCGGACGTAAAGAAATTTGTTGAAGTGGCATACAAATAAAAAAAAGGATAACTTACAACTCATAACTCATAGGAATACAATGGAAATGTATTGAAAGTGCCGTAAGTTCAGAAGCAGTATCTCTCATCTTCACTAAAATGATCACTTAATTGCAACACATTTTAACCTAAAGAATACAAAACCCTACCTAGACCCAAAAGGCAACTGAAAATGACACGTCTTCAAGCACTATCTACAAGAATACAAAGGAGCTGAGCTTATCTCTAATGAGAACAAGTTCCAAGGATGGGAAGCCATCACTGAAAAGGCCCCGTCTCATCTGCCCCTCTGCATCGTTCGAACCCTGGTTGGTACTTGGGCAGGATCACCAGGGGGACATTGTTGGGTACAGCCAGCTTATGTGAGCACCAGCGTGCAGCTTTTTAAAGGTTAGGAACCGCACTCTGAATTGGATGCAGAAGCAAATCACCAGCCAGTACAATTAATACAGTGTTAAAACCACATGTTCTCAATACAGGAGGACTGCAGTTCCAAACCACCCTCTGCAGATGCTGAAAAACACAGACGTATGGAACATTATACAGTCAACACTGGACTTATGAACTTAATCCGTTCCAGAAGGAAGCTTGTAAGTCAAAAAGTTCGTAACTCAAATCAGCATTTCCCATAGGAATGCACTGAAAACCGATTAATCCGTTCCGGCTGTTTTTGGTTCTTAGGTCGAGGGGCGGTTTGTAAGTTGAAGCATTAGTTCCCATAGGAACTAATGCAAAGCCGGTTAATTTGTTCCTACCATTTAGGGGCAGAATTTTTCTTTTTCTTTTTTTAACCTGAGATGGCATAGGTTTAAAAAAAAAGGCAGGAAACCACGGAGGGAACGAACGAACACTGTTTAAAAAGAACACTTTTTAAATCAAGCACCTTTTACACCAAAACAGGCACGTTTTCAACCAAGCACCTTTTAAATCAAAACAAGCAGCTTTTAAAGCAACCAAACACGTTTTTACCCAAGCAGGTGTTTAACTCAAACCATCAAACCAAGAAAACAACACCGAACTGAAGAAGAAAAACAGCCACCCACAAATAAAGTATTTCTGCCATACATCAAAGGGGTCACGGACTGCATGGGGAAACTTTTGAAAAAACGCAACCTACAAACAGTATTCAAGCCCACCACAAAAATATAACGAATGTTACGGTCAGCAAAGGACAGAAGGGATCCCCTCACCACTGCAGGAGTATACCGGATACCTTGCAGTTGTGGCCAGGTATATATTGGAACCACAAAACGAAGCATCCACACCAGAATCAA